AAAGGAAACTATATTTGTTTCTGGTCAATTGTACTTTAGTTCCTTCCTATGTTGTATAAGTTTATACATGGTTTTACATACAGTATGTTTGTTTATTATTTAATACCGTGTTTCCCCGAAAGTAAGACCTACCCCGAAAATAAGACCTAGCGCTATCTAAAGGGATTTCTGTAATATAAGACCTACCCCGAAAATAAGACCTAGTTCGGGGTAGGTCTTATATTACAGAAATCCCTGAAGATAGCGTTAGGTCTTATCTTTTTGCAGCCAGGTAAGACATCCCCCGAAAATAAGACCTAGTGTCTTTTTTTGTGAAAAAAATAAAATAAGACACTGTCTTATTTTCGGGGAAACACGGTATAAATTTAAAATCTTCACTTTTAAATTGTCACCTTGGGTTTCCTTCGGGTGCTCCGGTTTCCTCCTACACTTCAAAAGACATGCTGGAAGGTTAATTGGCTCCTCTCTAAAGTGCACCTGTATGTATGCATGTGAGATAGGGACCTTAGATTGTAAGCTCCTTGAGGGCAGGGACTGAATGTGAATGTGCAATGTAAAGCGATGCAGAAAATTGTCGGTGCTATATAAATACCTGTAATAAATAAAAAATGAGCCCAGAGGTTCACCTGTTGGCAGGTGTTGTAACTGTAATATATTCATATGTGATATTTAATATTTAGCCATTTTGTTTGTTTTTCATTTTAGATTTTAACAAAGAAAATATAGGGTCAGTATGATAGGCAACTATATAAAGGGTTATGATGGTTTGTTTTGCTTTGAGACTACAGATCCCAAAGGTCAGCCTCTAAATGTAGAGCTTATCGCAAGGACAAGCCCAAATTTAAAGCTTGGCAAATTTTTAATTTCCATTTTGTTGTCTGTTCTGGCAGTGCAGCTCAAGGAAACTGACCCAGTAGGATGTAAAGTACTTCACCAGGCAAAAATGCTGCATGTACAAACTTAGTTACAGGAAAAGCAACATTTTTAAAAAAACAACATATTTACAGGCTGCTACATGCATACCCATGCACCCACTACACTATTCTTTCTAGTAAATGGAATAGTTTCTAAGAGAAAACAGCAAAAAATACTTAGCTTTCAGCAGTAAATTCCGTAAAGAATAGGAACGCAATTAGCGTTTGCAGGAAAAATGGCTTCAATTTGCAGTCTCTATCTCTCTTAAGTCCTTTGTTTCAGAGTTCTATAGTGAGTCCTCTCTTGGTCAGAGTGATGTGTGTAGTCCTCCTTTGTTGAAGTCCCACATTCGCTTTCCAGCTACTGGCTTTTATTAGGATAAATCGGCAACCCACCTGTAGGCGGTGCCCCTCAAGACTTGTATGAGAGCGAAATACGATGTATTTCACTTTCCCACCTCTAGGCGGCATTAGAGCATCAAGAATTGCCATCAGTAGTCAAGGGTGCCAAAATGTCTAAAGAAGCCTTGACCATAACACGGTATTATTGGGAGTACACTGAATACGAATAATGGGGAAACAATACAGGGCAGCCATACCATTATCAAAAACCAGTGTGGTCTGTTTAGAAGGCACCCTCCATCAGCCGAACAGACCACATGTCTCCTTTGCAAATTACCCGTGTGTGCTTGAAAAATCCTTTAGCAAAATCATAGTTACATAGTATTTGAGGTTGAATAAAGACATAAGTCCATCAAGTCCAACCTGTTGTGTGTGTGTGTGTATAGGTCCATGAGTGTTCTCATTCGTAAGAGTACCTGTACCCTTGTACATTTCGGTCTCTCAGGAAGTCGTCCAAAAGCCTCTTGAATGATTCCAGATTAATTGCAAAAATTACCGCTTGAGGCAGTGAGTTCCAGACCCTCACCGCGCGAACTGAGAAGAACCCCCTTTGCCCCTCGTGTTCGAATTTTTTTCTACCAGTTTTAGGTGGTGTCCTCTAGTCTTTGTTACGGAATTCATCTCAAAGAGTTTGTTGCTAATGTTGCTATGACTATGGAACATTTTGTACATGAAAATCATGTCCCCCCTTAATCTCCTTAATTCCAACGTAAACATGTTTAAATTTAGTAGCCGTGTCTCATAGCTCTGGTCCTCCATCCCCTTTATGAGTTTGGCCGCCCTTTTACACTATCTTTGTCTGTTTCTATTACCCTCCCAATTTTGGTATCGTCAGCAAACACTGAGATATCGCTGTGTACTCTGTCCCCGATGTCGTTAATAAACAGGCTGAATAGCATGGGTCCCAGCACAGAACCCTGAGGCACACCGCTAATGACACTAGCCCAGTCTGAAAGGGCACCATTTATTGATACTCTCTGTACCCGTTCCTTTAGCCAGTTCTCTATCCATGTACACACCCTTCCATCTATGCCCATAGCTCTCAGCTTGTATAGTAAGCGTTTATGAGGTACCGTATCAAAAGCCTTAGCGAAATCCAGATATACCACATCCACAGACCTCCCTCCATCCAGATCTCTACTTACCCCCTCGTAAAAAGTCAGTAGGTTAGTCTGACAGGAATGGTCCTTCCTAAACCCATGCTGGTTGTCATTTATTTTGTCATTTTCCCGCACGAATTCTACTAAGTGGTCCTTAACAGTTATATATATATATATATATACACGCACACGCACACACACACACACACACATACACAAACGCACACACAAGACATGGTTCGAGCCTTCTCTCACCATACACCATTCTAGCCTTCCCCTACCTGCTGAATGCAGGGCTTCAGTTGGGACTCCCGGGGGGTTGGGGGGTGTTAACATTTTTGTGTTCAGCATTTGAGGTTTAATTTAGTGTTTAGTGACTGAACCGCTACCTGTTTAAATCTCACAACTGTCGTAAAGATATTTGCATACTTCCGGAACAGAATGGAAACTGGTAAGTAGCTTTCAGACAGTGGCTAAGCCTGAAGTCACTATTGAGGCATTTCCCTTTAAGAATACTGCAGACACCTTCCTGGCATCAGGGTATTCATCATTTTGTCTTTGTTACGACACTTCACATCCATCTTTGTGCAAGTTAATTTGTCTAACATATGAAAATAGAGCCCTCGGATAAAAACTGTCTAACTGTCTTTTGGGATATTCCTTTAGTGTTTCCAACCTCCGCATTATAAACCAGATTAAACATTTACAAACCAATTAAACTAGATAGTAAGGCTTTATTTTCCCTGCAGCTGTCATGAGGATCTCACGCAGACTGGGAAGTTTATGAGATAGCCGCATAGTTTTGCTAACTAAAGCACTAATTGGTTTAGGAGACAGTTTAAAATGCCATTTATCAATACTATAATTTAATAGTCCCAGATCCACAATGATTTTAGGCTAAAACTATGTGACATGCAGTTTCTGTGTTTCTACACACATAATTAGTAGGGCACTTTGAAACAATTTTAAGGCTACCATACAGATTTCTTCAATCAATACAGACGATTTTGATTTTAACCCCTTCATGACCCATGACGGGATAATACCATCATGAAGTTTGAAGAGGTTAAACAGATTCCCGGCTGCTTTTAGATACCGGGAGTATGTTCAGTTTTGTAGAGTCGGCGGCTGGCTTTACAGTAGAAGCAATTCTGGTGGCTCAGCTGCCGCCAGATCGCTTCTACGATCCGGTAACTGGGTCACCTGACACGCCCACCTTTTTTCCTGGGCTCCGCTGCCCCTCCTACGGGCCCAAGACTGGCTTGCCTTTTGGACCCCCAGTATCACTTTAAAGAGTACCTGTGACTGACAATACGCTATCACATTGGGGGGCTTGTAAGCCCCCCTTTGTGATAGCAATTAAAGTTAAAAAAATGTCCTTGCACCCTGGAGTGAGAGCAATAATTTACATGTATCTCATTATCAATATCTAACAAATATAAACAATCTAACAACTTACAATCTAATATTTTAGAGTATGTTGGCTACCCAATGGGTGTGACCATTTAAATGGTTCACACACATTAAAGTGGAACTCCGGTCAAATAGCTAAATGCACATTTCTAATACATATAAGTTTACTGTTTTATCTGCTAAAGGATTTATAATCCTGTTTAGTAAGTCTTGTGATTTTCACACATTTACTGCAGTGTGGTAGTGGTGTGTGAGTCTTCCGTGTGGCTGAACAGTTTGCAAATCCTTTGGCTGCTAAATCAGTTGACATATAAATATTTCAACTGTGTATTTAGCTGTTTGGCTTTCCTCTTTTATTTGATTTATATTTGGAAGATTGATTCACTATAGGTACAGGTTAAGTACTGCCTAAATTTTTATACTTTAATTGATTTTAGGCTTAATTAGACCTAGCAGGGACTGCCTAGCATGTTCTTCAATAGGACAGGAAGTCAGGTGTGGGCTACTATCATTAATTTCAGCTACTTTCGCTGAAATATCTTCACTTTCTAATAAACTTTGTCTGCCAGTAAAGCTTTATATATGTCTTGTTGTAATGCTGCAGTAAACATTACAAAGAGGTCTTTTATTTGCATCAAATGGGTTGTAAACTTCCATACAATTCTTTGGGAATGCAAAATACAGGTCAAAGAGGTCAGCTGCAGGTTAAATGAATTGTGCAAATTGTGCCAGCAACTCTAGGCCTTATAATGGCAACCGAGGTTCAGTTTAGTTAGTCTGGATTGGTTCTAGTCAATTATGAACCAATGTGCATCATCTATTCAGCAGTCTGTGGTGCATTATGGTAATGGAAGCACACTCTCTGCTTACAAAATTGAAACTTCTATTGTAATTTATATTCCAAATCCAGTCTCTTTGCAAACATTCTGTTGCAACTACTGTATTGATAGGAGTGTTTCTTGCAAATGACTGATATCTGAGAGCCCAATATGTGAGCTGATGCTTGATTATAGACAGAACTTTTTTTAAAATTAATTATACTATCTGCTTCAAAGCTGTACTTAATAAAACCGCTAAAATGTTTCTATTAAAAATTAATAAAAAAAAAATATTTGGTAGAAATATTTAATATGTTTCATACTTACCTTAATTACTTTTTTTTTTTTCAAAGGTGGCCATGATGACAATTTAATTGGTGGAGGAACTAGATTTGTCTGCAAGCCAGGAGCCAGAAACATCACAATTATATTCCACCCTTTGCTGAGGTAAGCTGATTATTTTAATATGGTGCGCTAAATGTGGAAGGAGCACCAAAAGTGTTTGCAAGAACAGTTTCTGTTGTCTGTAGCAGAAAGCTTCTTCCTTTTTATGTTTTCAGGGTATATTAGAACATTGACCAGGGACAGCTACGGTTTTTTCAAATGCTAAATTAAAAACGATATTGGCTCACTTTTGGATGTTCTGCTTCCTTTTTCCTTTGTCTTGTCTAGTTTGTTGTTGCTTAGGCTCTTTCTTTTTTTAATGTGTATATTCAGCTATGTTTAATCAAGAGCTGATGAGCAGGCAAAATAATGAAAGTAGTTGTAATCATCTTAGAAAGATCATTTCATTGATGTTTCTTGTGTCTCCTGTGTAGAATTTGAGGAATTAAAACATAGGTTTAGTAGGTTTTTTGCTAGTGTCATGTTGGTGACCCATTTATTACTGTACGTACTGTGCTGTGAATTCTTATATTGATCTAAGTAACACGTTTTCAGTGGACAATTTAGCTAAAGCATGCTGCTGGTGCTTTTGAGGTCAGCACAGAGAGGGAAAGAGAGATCGAGAGAGAGAGAAAAATGATTAAGCTTCTATTTTTGATCTGATGGAGTCAGAGCATGGTCAGAGGTTGAGCTGGAAAGGTGAAATTAAATTTAATTTCTCCTGATTTTGAACAATGCAGTAGTCACCAGCACACTCTTGTGAAGTGCTCCTGACAACGAGTCACTCATTTCAAAGTTTCACTCAAGTCCTTGATGAGTTTGTTCCCGTTTACGCTAACCTTTGTTGAACCCTCAGAGCTAAGCGTCTCTATGGAAAGCACAGAATTGATCTGGTAAAATACAATATTTTGCTATGTCGGTCAGTGTATAATTCTGTAAAATGGATATGCTCAGGGATGCATGTGTTGAGGGTTACAATTAAATTGGAGTGCATGTATTTGGATTATCAAGATTGGGATGTGGAGACCAGCACGGACTGCCTACTGTTTCTTAGTTAACATAAACATATTAGGGCTGCAACAACTAATCAACATAATCGATTATAATCGATTATTGAAAAAGTTGTCAACTTTATCAATCATCGATTAATCGGCTTCCGATAGGTTGGCCTTGTTCACGGCTCCACACACGCTGCTCGCCACACCTCCTCCCCACCTCATGCTCGCCGCTGCTAGATCTGCCCGCATCCACGCTCCACACGCCGCACCTCCTCCCCGCCTCACGCTCACCGCCCGCCCAAATCCACGATCGGCACAGGGACGCGGGGAGAAGAAGTAAGTAGGAGCAGGTGTGGTGGGATGACAGGTCATTCTGCATTTATTGCTGTATAATTTTACACTTTTAATTTCACTATATTGCACACCACACTTTTTTTTTTCTTTTTTACTTCCACCGCTCCAAGCTTGCTCCTGTGATGGACTGCAATCTCAATACAAACTAGTAGTCCCATCACTGGAGCCATTTTTTAAAATGTATTTTATTTTTTTATCCGATTAACCGATCGAACTTGATAATCGGCTAACTAATCGATTTTGAAAATAATCGTTAGCTGCAGCTCTATATTGGGGCATGGAGTAAGTAGCCTTTTAAGTTACAAATCTAGGTTTCTCATAAGAGTTTGAGAAAAGGTACTTTATAGTTTAGTATAATTTATAGGAATATGGATCTTCAGCTATCCGATGGCTACTTTATAAATGTCTCAGACCCACTTACTTGGCAATAAATGTGCCAGACACATTCTTCTCAGAGAGTAGTTATTTCCTCTGGATGTTCAGAAAGATGGGTGCCAGCCACTTTTGTTGTGTTTGTAGATTTGATTGCACTAGTTATGGAGAAATAGGAAAGAGAGTGGAGGAAGCACATAATACTTGTAGACTGTGTAACACGATTACTAAACACCAGCGCTGCCTTTGCACACAAGACACTGGCGGGGATGGGAGGTTTCCACTATGGATACTAATGAATGGGGGCTGCAGAGCTCAGTTGTAATGTACACAATTATGCTTGCAAAACAGAGCCATTTCGGTGAGGAGATGAAGAGGAAAGCTATACAAAAAAATAAAGTTTATTTGTTCATATACAGCAACTGCATATGCCTGCTTCATTTTCACTTGGTGTACATTGCTGGCACATGTTTTTAAAAAGAATACCTCTGCAAAGGGGAAAATGGGCTTTAAGTTAGCCATACACGACTCAAATTTTTTCCAAAATTCAAGCCACGGGGGCTCTGTCAGCACCACCCGACAAAAGCCAGATGCAAAATGACCAGATGCAGTCTCACTGTTCATGCATTCAGGTAACTGGGCGCCTCATCTGTCTAAAGACAAAAGCTGGCACTGGAGACTCCTCCATCTATGGTGTTTAGCGTGTATGGGGTATTTAAGGGCTGACAAAAGAAAATCCATATATGTATGGCTAACTTTGGTATTCAAGGAAGGGCAACCATGAAAAGGCTATTGTGCTGCTTTACAACTCGAGTCAATCAGTCCTTCACCACCTCCTTGTGGGAGACAACTTCAATCTGCTTCCTCCGAGCCCATAATAGCACTCAATGGTAGCAGGCATTCTCAAGGGGATGTCTTAGCAACTTCCCACATATACCTAGGCCAAAAGGCCCAAGGATAAGTCAAATGTTATATTCACATTCTCAAAGGGCAAAAGCCCAGGAGGGAAGATCAAATATTTAGGAATACTCCCAGGATGCACCAGCAGGCCCCCAAGGTTATTGATTGGCCAGGTACTGCTTAACATCCTTAACACAAAATGATATCTCTAGAATTGTCTCAAAATCTATTAATTGTAATGGAAAGTCCATCAGCAGGATAATGGGCCACAAACAAGATTTTCATTTTTCCACTGTAGGAAACAAAGTTTGGGCTATGCTTTTGTTGTAACTCCACTTGCCAATGAAATTTTTTGGAAGACACTGTTCGGTGTCCTATAGGCAATATACCATAGATTTCTAAAAGGAAGCATCACAAATATGTATATCCTGTTTAAAGATACTGTATCTATAAAGGGGACAGAACACACTAAGAATCGGTGTGCATATCTTTTTAACCTGTGTGAGCAGTGTTGTTGAAATGGATAAATTAAGAACTGTATTTGTCTTTGCTTCTCTAATGCTGGGCACTGTTTTAGGGCCTACCACTTGGTCATATATTTTTTGCTAAAAGGGAGGATAAAAGTTAAAGTGAACCTCTCCATTGCGAAAGCATGAAAACATAATATCTTCAAAATCTGCTCCATCAGTTGCTTGAAACACGCTCCTTCCATCAAAACATACAGCCTAAGTAAATTAAACAGTACTGTAACTGATGTGCAACATTTAAGTTCTCAAATCTTTTCGAGTCCCTCAAGACACTGGCATATACAGAGATCATTGACACATGACTGTCACAGAAAGAGAAGAGATGTCTTTTATAACTCAGCTAATAGTCTGGGATCATTCAAGAGGCTTTTGGACGATTTCCTGAGAAACGGTAATATACAGGGGTACAAGTACTCCTAAAAACGAGATGACTGGTGGATCTTTACACCCACCCACACACACACACACACAATAGGTTGGACTTGATGGACAAATGTCTTTATTCAACCTCAAATACTATGTAACTATGTCTTTGACTTGTGCGCTGCGACTTAAAGCCTGAATGCACTATGCTGTGCAAGAGGCTGGCAGTGCCCACTGAAAATGAATGTCTGAGAACAGCAGAGTTTTTGATAACTGATTATGCACCCGTGAGTTTTTTTTTTTTTTCATAGTTAATTGAGGTTTATGTAAATATTTGCAAAGAAAGGTCCTTTCAGCTGAGATCATATGACTAGGCATTTAGACTAGTGACAACAGTGACATTTTACGTGTTCTCTTACGGTTTTTGGTATATGCTAACATAGCTTAAGTGTGGCCATTTAAAGGGACACTAAACTCAGGAGTTAATTCATAAAAATGGATTCAGGTACCTGAACTATTGAGCTATTAAAAGGTGAGCGGCACTCTTCTAATGAAAATCACTGGGATACTGAGTGTGTAAGAAGGGTGCACTGGTGCAAATCAGCATTTAGAGCTGCATGCTGAAGTGGTATTTACTGAAAGGGATAGACAAAAATTTGCTTTAAGAGTTTTTTTGTGCAATTTATTTTTTTAATTGTATACATTTTTTACTTAAAATGTTTGGTTTTGACTGCAAGCGTATGCATTAACACTCAGAAAGGATAGAAAATTGCTTCGCTTTTCCAGTGGCGGACACTTTCTCATCATGGCACACTAATGCTTGGCTCTGGAGGATAGTAATAATCAGACATATGTTTTACTGAGTGTTTAGTTACAGATGCAGGAATGCATCAAGGGAGTTATCTGACTGGGCGATGGTTAAGACTGGCAGCGAGGCTAACAGACTCTGAATGCTAGCAGTTCAGCGGTAGTACAATGCTTGTTTAAATATCAGCCACATTTTATTAGTATCAGTATGTAATTAGCAAGGAAATGTAGCATGAAAGCAAAAGAGAGGCACAGTGAATTTCAGTACTGGACAGCTCATGGAAATGAGTGTGTTCTTAGGAATGCCAAGACCTCATTATACTGTTTATATTTTTCAAAATGTTCTTCTACATATTGAAAAAAAAACCTCACCTGATCCTTGGTCCTGTGGCAGTCAGCACTCACCTCTATCCCCCTCCACTCTGGCAGTGGAATGTTCCATGGCATCCTCAGCAGCAGCATTAGACATTATGATGGGTCCTTAGACCGTCGGAGATAGGGGGAGAAGAGGCTGCAGGGACCGGCCTAGCAGCCAAAGAGGACCCAAGATCAGGTGAGTCGCCGCCTTCTTTTTTTGTGTGCGCTCCTAGACCAAAACAAGCAGTTAACCCTTGTAGTGTGTGGGTAGCCTCACTGTAAGGGTTATTTTTTACATTTCCTGGAGTTTAAAAAAAAAAAAAGCTTCATGGCTATGGAGAACCTGCTACAAACTGGTCTTAAAAACCTGTCATGGAAGTAACCT